ATCCCAGGAGGGGAACTGCACTGTATGTATAATAAAGCAATAGAATAAATAATAACTGATAATAGAACAAATTCTCTGAAGAAACTGGAATAGGACTCATGGAACAATGGGGAAGACACTCCTGAGTTAACCCTGGGGACTCGTGGAAGATGACAATGAGTCTTAAGACCTTAATAAACATGCAAGAACATCTCTCTGAATTCAGATGTTATCCAATAAACAAAATAACTGACAAGACAGCCACATATAAACTGAAATAAAAAAGGTAATAGAAGTATAATGCCCTAATTTCCAGAAGCATTGAAAATATTTTTTCTTATTCTTTTAATTATGAATGCCATAATCTCCCTTTTGCTGTAACCTAAATGCCAATTTCAACTTCCCGTTTGATAAAAAAGCTGGAATTAAACAGGATACAAAGGAAGATTTAGCCCAGCCCTTAAACTAATGACATTACCCCGGACCCACGATTCAACCAGCTGAAAGCGTGACTGGGCATGTAGGACAATGAGATGGGGCTTGTTCCCAATGTGGAAGCGAGCCGCGATTTCCAAACGCAATTTGCTCCGTAGTGATACAATTTCAAACAAATAGCCCAAGACTAATGCTGCTTTTATGTGGCTCTAAATGATGTATTTTTGGCCCTTCAGTTTTTATTAGGTTATTTAAGTCTGATGAAGTTAATGGGAATTTTGATGAAAGCCCTGCCAGTTTGCAAACAAATTGTGCCAAAGGGCCAACACCTTCTCAAAGCTAGCAGTAGGCTCTATGGCCCTGGATGCATCTCCCTCACTGTCCTTGTGTACAGGAGAGGGGGTGTTGAAGGCAACTCACAAGCTATAATAGTTTTAGGGCTGTGTTAGTTCTCAGAATATCACTCATTATTTGGTTCGCTTGCTTGTTTTCCAGGCTTTTAAAAGAAAGTGCTTAATAAGGCTCCTTATTGTTTAGCAGTGCGCTGTGGGTGGGTGACGGGGAACCTTCCTCGGAGGTCCGGAGATGCCATTAGGAAAATGCGTGACATAATAATACTGCATGGGGAGACAAGCTCCCCCCTATGGCTGCCGGTGATCTATTAAGGCATGTGGGGCGACCCTATCTCAGAACTCCAGGCTGTGAGGAGACAGCGTGCACGGAACTCGACACAGGGTGACAGTACATTCCTGACTGCAGAGACATAAGCAGAGGTGGATAGTTCAGATTCTGTAGAGGACAAGCTAGTAAATAGCAAACTAGCTCATCTGATGTAGGTTGCATTCATCCATCCATCCATCCGTCCATTATGCAACTACAGACTTGTGATAAGCCCGGATCCTATACCAGACAACACCATGGCTGACATTCAGTAATAATTAAATATTAATATTAACATAAAAGATAAAATAAATAAGCAAGCACCACAGCATCAAAAAGAAAAAGACTTGCATTTAACCAGCTAATCACCTTTGCTATGGCTTTGGACAAACACAGGCCAACAATTGTCCCAACCAGAACGAGAGACAACTACAAAACACTTCAGTGAAAAAAAAAAAAAATTTGGTCAAGATTTGCAAAACATACAAAGGGCTCTCAGGTTAGAAACTCTGTGTAGCTTCGGGGAGACATGCAGTTTTGGGGAATTTACTCACAAAAGTAACCCATTACAGACAGAGGTGGGTTCAGGTCCAGAAAGTACAAATCCAGACCAAGGTTTTGTTTCAGCTAGCCAGTTGAGTATATAGTCCCTGGCACAGAGTACTCGGCTAGTTGGCTGAAACAAAATCTTGGTCTGGATTAGTACTTTCTGGACCTGAACTTTCCACCTCTGTAATGGATTACTTCCCCAACACTGAAGACATGACATGAAAAACACTAACCAACATTACCCCAATATGTACTGTTCCATTTAAAATCATTTTAACATATCAAAAATAGTCAGGTTCGGGAAGACATGAGAGACGCCAACATAACCGAGAGAATCTAATAGTAGCCTATATAATGTTTTATTTATTTAAAAGGGTTTTACCATACGAAATGCTTAGGTGATAAATATATTCTTTCTCTTCGGGAATGCAAATCTACGCTTTTAGGCTAAAAAATAGGTCCGCGCATCATCGCCTGTTGCGTATAAGCAGAGGAGGCGCTTCTGGCGCAGCTGGGCGGACGGCGCCACGTTTGGCCGGATGAGCACGGCCACCCCGCCGGGCTCATCTGCAAAGCCGGCCGTTATGTGATGTTAGCGTCTTTCGCGTCATCCCGAAACAAAACGACTGTTTAAAGAAATCTACTGATAAAATAATTTTAAATAAATAAATAAAAGAATGCGTATTCCATAAAAATATACTAAAAATACATATTACATAAATATATACAAACGTACCACTACGAGTTATTTATGTGGGGCGAAAAATGTAAAAATGACTCAGGGGCTGAAGCGAGCGGTGCGATAAAAGTTAAAAAAAGAAATTCCTTTTTTTATTTCTGCTGTGTAAAGGATATTTACGTCCGGCATAAGCGCTTCTCCGACAGGGACATTTACGGCCCTGGTACAGAGGGCGGCCTGACCTGTCGGTATCTCCTAGCCACATGCGTTTGGACGCCTATTTTGTCATTTTCCGGACTGCCGAACCTCCAGTGTTTTTCGCACCGAAATCGCACCCAGCCAAGGTTAGCGACTCCGGTCAGCTGGCTGGAGTGAGATTTTCAAGTCTACACACGTATTTACATGTATGTGACAGTTTTATTAACCTCGTAAATAGAATATATGGTTGTATGGTTTAAACTACCCCAACCCTTTTGTTGTAGCTAATTTGAGGTTTATAATGGAATAATATATATTTGCTGAAAGCGTGAATTTTACGTCACTGACTTCGCCGTCCAAAGTAAAACTCCATTGTTGTGTTACAGCCATTAAAACATTCATACAAGTATAGCTTGTTAGCAGTATAAATTAGTCACATTTGTCCTCAGCCACCAGGGGGACGCTCTCTGTGTGCTTTATTAGCCAGTTCCGCTAATATGATTTTCTATGGCCGAAGCCCGTAGTAGTGCGCGGTCCCTGATTTCAGGGTGTTTTACTCTGACCCGGAGCCTGTGGGCGCTGGCATCACTCCTCCACTCTGCTGTCATCATGTGCCACGGGTTTCTGCGCAGTGACTGCAAGAGACGGAGAGGAGAAAGCGGGAGAGGAGGGGGAGAGAGATGGAAAGGAGCGGACAGCACACGGGAGAGATCAGTGTGGTAAATTGCCTTTTTCTCTCCCAAACCCAGGGTCCCGGGAGCGCGCAGTCTGTTTTATTAGCCGTGCCCCGTACCAATGTGGCTAATCTAGCGAATCCCCCCCAATCCATTTCAGGGCACTCTGTGTCCATCAAGGAATTGCTGCTGTGTGTGTGTGTGTCTTGAGAGGTTGGAGGACAAGGCGATGAGGTGACCCGGGGAGTCTGAGAGCTGAGAGACACATTACAGTGTCCTTATCCTACGCTTAATGGGCCAATTTAAGGACAATATCCAAAAGGGCAGTGAACACCGACATTTAGGCCATCGACCCTATTAATGAGTGCTAATCTGTTTAAGTCCCATACCTCAGCTATCTCGTGGGGCAGAGTCAGAAGGACAACTCCAACATTGCACAGTCTCAAAACCCAAAGCTGATTAATTAACAGCTATTTAGAACAAATGTTTACATAATTAAATATATTAAGTGTATTAAGTACATTAACACGCTTACCTGATTACATTTTTACACACTATTTTTGACACTGCCCCCGCTTGTATTTGGATTAATAAATGAATCATATGATCAATGTTTTAATAATGATTTTATTCGAATTATTGATGTACTTTAGTAACGGGCGGTCTGACCGTCCACGAGGCCAAGTAGATAAGATGGCAGCCAAGGCTCCCCCATGTGGTTAGCGAATGACACGCACCAAAAGAGCATTTCCTCAAAGGTGAGTCTTTGCGATTGATGACTTCTGAGAGTAGAAGTGTGTCCATTTTGGGAGCCATGTGGCCCGGGGTGCCTACTGCATGCCCCCCCCCCACCCCATACCTATTCTAAATGTCCCCTGTCTGTCCAAGGTCGTCTTTGGCTTTCCCCGGGTCCTGAGACGGCTGCTGCGATATTGGAGACTCACCCTGTCATCCTCCGCTCCCCTATTGCTGTCATTTTTCTTGCCGTTTACCTCGTTGCCGAAGGAGACGTGACATCATTGAGGTCTTCAGCATTTTTGAGCCAGGGCCAAACTCGGATGTGACACTCTGTAAATCCTACTAAGATGGTGCCTTCTTGAACGTCAAGGTGTTTGTTTCAATTTAGAAAGTGTCTTATAACCTCCTTTCTGCAGCATTGTTTCCCTGATTTGTGATTCTGAATACGAGCTGACTTTATGGTGCCGGGCCACAGGCACCATAACTAAGTCAGGAGAAAACACGGTAGAAGGTGACGTGATCGGTAAACGATTCATATTTTCCCAGCAACTTCATCAGAAGACGGTAGCCTGGTGCTGTTGGGACAATTTAATATTTGTTGACGAATACAAATTGCATTCATTTATTTCGTTCTATTTCGCTCTTAAATTTAGGAGGGGGGTTACAGTTTTGAGGGAAGTGTCCTTGATGTTATCAGCTAAAATATTTAAGCTACTGTCACTTGATGTCGTAATGGTTATGGAAGCGTGCTTGTATTTGAAAGATCAGTGGTTTGAATCCCTGACCAGCAAGATACCACTGAGGTACCCTGAGCAAGCACTGCTCCCCAGGCTCTGACTTAGCTGCCTCCTGCCACGTCACGACGTCACATATGGGTTAAATGCAGAGGATTCTTTTCGTTGTTGTGCACTATGTGCCGTGGTGTGTCAACAATGACTAGTCATTTCTCCTCACCTTCAAATAACGACGGCTTTGTCCTTCTTACTTTTCTGCTGTCTGCAAATGATTTGTCTAACAGCTTCTTTCTGATAGGAGTGTCCAAATGATGTGAAAGCTAATACATGTTCTCTAATATTATTATTCCACAGGAACCAGACAGTCCTCCACCAATTCTGCTGCCCAGCTCCCGATGCTCCGGAGGCAGAGGTCTCCAGCGTCCCCACAAGGTAAGGGATGTGTGCTTCCCGGCACCGCAACCAGTCAATGTCTGTCTTGTTGCTGACAGATGTGTCAAGTCGCCCGCAACTGCTCTCATCGTGTCCATTTCGGAGTGGTTGTGAGTCTCCGGTCGCCGTGTGCCAGCGGTGTCCTGCGGCCGGGATTACCGCTTTGCGCGTGACAGAGTCAACGTCCTTCACAGATCTCACATCTGAATTTTAGTTCCCTGGCAGTCTGCTTCGCAACTTGTGTGGCAACAGCTTCTAAGGTGCATTTAGAGAACCGGAAAGCAACTGTATCAAAGCTTTCGAGTAATTGTCTAGTCCTCAGTTTTTTTGAAAATAAGATTTTAAAAATTCATAGCTGGGCTCATATGCCTTAGTCATCTTGAAATTATGATTATGTTTCTAAATTATGATCCACTTATCTGGAAAAGAGATGTTCAACTGCATATTACAGACAATAGGAAGAAACAGTCTTTTAAAGCTGAACTTTAATTACTGGAAGGAAAGACGTCTAACGTACTGACACTTGGCAAGCATACCCAATAAAGCAGCAAACACTGGTGGGCTCTCATTGAGAAATATTTCCTTTATACTCTTTTGTTACATTTTGCTATTAATTCCTGGTTTTTCAATGCCCGTGTTGATCTACGTAAGTTCAAGATTGCATACATCCATCCATTCCTGAAAGATATTAGTCACAATGTTTAAAATATACCCTTCCAGGAAATTACAGTATAATTCATATTTTACAGCAAAGATTTATGATGTAATCGTGCCCTAGCACAAACGATTAAGATGCAATTAAGGCGTATTCATTTGTGCTGATACCCAACATGGCAATAGGAAGTATTGATGAGCAACAACTACGCTAACTGCATTTGTTCTTGGAAGGCTCGTATAGATGACATATTCCTTCAACACCCCCACCCTCCCACCTACCAGGCCCCCAATCCAGCGTCAGGCTATAAACAATCAGATGCTGTGCCAGAATTGACACATTTTCTCCAAAAAAAAAAAAAAGAGCAGCAGTTGCTCATTCTGATATTTTTTGTGGTGTCTGGGCACCACAGAAAAAGCTATTTATTAGATAAGCTCAGGGTAGCCTATGACTGAGATCGCATGATCCTCTGCCTGATAATCCAAGTTAAAAAAGAAAGTTCCGAACCCACTTTATAGAGGCATACATTTTTTTTTCTAACTGCTCAAAGGCTGATTGGTCAATGACAGTCATGTGACTGAGAACTCTTAGGTAACCATGTAGCCTTCTGTACACCTGATTTTTCAGTGAGCGTAATTGGCGCTGGGTCTCTATCGAGGAAGTCAGGGAATGCGTGAGGTGGAGAAGCTCTTGGCCCCTCGTCTCGAGCGACGCTACCGGCCAGCGTCGGTCAGCTTTCCTCGTTGGGTTCGAGGCTGCTCGCGTCCCGAGGGAAGCCCTGGGGGGGCCACACCCAGAGCAAACCACTTCAAATGGAGTATGCTGAGCAGTTTGCGGATCACCGGTCGCAGCTCCGCCCCCTCCCACCTTTTCCACCCCCTTCCATTGTTGATGTTTTTAATTTCAGTGTTGTGGACTATCTGTCAGAGGTCGCAGTCTTAGAGCATAACATATCCCACGCCTTCCACTCCGTCCACATCCTTCTCCATCCTGGCTATAGCACATCACAGTCATCTGACACCCCCCCCCCACCCCCTTTGCAGCCAAATGTGAAACCAGTGGTTTACAGTGATTCCCATGTGGTAACACCATGGTGACAACTTGCAGTGTGATGGGTTTACCAGACGAGTAACATTACCAAAGGACACTGCCAGTGTCTGTTTACGCGAACCTGGAAAGATCGGTCCCGCTATGAACGGCGTCCACTTGGTGTATCTACACCTACTTAAAACACTTAAAAGAGTCACAAGTGGTCGAACCAACAAAACGTAATATGAGAACCACCAGGCTACTGACAAGGTCTAAAACCTTCTCAAATGACCCTTGGTATCAGAGTTAAACCATACTTTGCTCTATCTGCAATTTTTTTCCGTTTTCCTTGAAAATGGGTTGATGTGTGTGATAGTTTTGCCATTAGTGCTTATATGAAGTCACAGGGCTATAAATGTGTGGCAAAGATTGAAATCCATTATGTGCTGAAGGAAGCCTTAGCACAGAGAAGTAATGAGTCACGTTAAAGTAATATGTGTATTATTGCTAATAATTCTAATCTTGGGCCCAAAGGTATTTGCTCCATGAATAACAGTCATGGTGTTTAAATTAGGTTGCACTGTGAATCATGCAGTATCAATTTATTCTCGTGAATAGAATGTTCAAATAAACAAATTACACGCAAGCTGTTGCAAAATTACCATTTGGTTCCAAGAAATAACATGTCTTTTTCATAGATTACCCAAGCCCCAAATAATCGGGTTGTCTTATGTATTGTAAATGAGTGGGAATAAGTATCACTTGCTTTTTGTATTTTTAGTGCTTTGACGTTAGCCAGACCATTTTTACATCTCACGTGGCACTTTATTTTGAGCAGCTGTGTTGTGTATTAAAATCCAAATAATTTTTCTTTGTCTGCAGTTGCGGGATCACAGACTTACTCCAAAGTTCAACAGGAAAACACAATGCTGTTGTTGCTACTCTTAACATTTAGTCAGACATTATTGAGAAATGGGTGATCAGTGATCATTGTTGACGAACCATAGCACGTAGTGCACAACAATAAAATGTGTCCTCTGCATTTAACCTATATGTGACATCGTGACATAGCAGGGGGCAGCTAATTCAGTGCCCGTGGAGCAGTGTTTGGGGGTGGTACCTTGCTCAGGGTACCTCAGTGGTACCTTGCTGGTCGGGGATTCTGAAGACACTGCACACATTATATCTACTGAGGGAGGGATGCCCACATTATATCTACTGAGGGAGGGATGCCCACATTATATCTACTGAGGGAGGGATGCCCACATTATATCTACTGAGGGAGGGATGCCCACATTATATCTACTGAGGGAGG